AGTCGTGGCCAAAATTGCTCAAAGGAAAGCTGAGCTTACATTTAAGACACGGAAATGATATCAGGGGAGAGATTACCCTCACCCAACCGAGCAGCAGCTCTGAAATCAGCAATCTACAGACGATATTTGAGCCAAGGCTACAGCTACATTTGAATTTAAAACTATCACTGAAGAATTAGTTTTTGAGTCGGGATCAGAGGAAATAATTCCTATTTCAGTTGGGTCGGGATATTCAGATACAATGGGAATACATATGGACGAGTTTATGTTTTATTTTATGATTCTCTTATCAGTCTTCACCTGTGCCAATAATGTGCCGCTTATTTCAAAGGATTTCTTTTTAGCAAAATAATAGTACCTGAAAATATATTTGAGTCTATCAAAATTCAATATAACAAGTAGAAATTCCACATCTATTGGATTTCGTAGGATTCTCTTATGTTTTATGTGTGTATGTTGGGGTACTAAAAGGAAATATTTACTCCTTTCTGTGAAAGTAAAAAAACTCGCAAATAAATGTAGTAAAATCAAAGAAACAGCCTGTTGGAAGCTGCCGAGCTTTTTCGGCAACTCTGACTCCACATTTACAATAATTATTCTCAGTATTTAGTTTTTATTATTTTCGTTTATTATTCGAAGATTAAATACAGTTTAAAGGGGACAATGTACAATGATTATTATGTTAATGCTGCTGCTCCGAACACAGCTAATGCAGTGGGTTTCAAAACTTGTTCATTACTCTGTACGGTACTAGGACAGGACCTGAACATGCCCAGACCATACCAATAGATTTGCCGAATTTCAGTAACGATTGGTTAAGCAACCATCAAAATTATCTGTGCGGGTTGCACATATATAAAGCACATATATAAAGTAATAAATTGAAAACAGGATTTCATCATGTACTATTTTCCAGCTGTAGAAACAAGTGTCAAGCTTGTGACAGAGGACATATATATGTGGAGAAGAAGTCAGGATTCGTACCCGAACAAGAGCAAGGAAATAAATATATTTTGAGAGACACTGTTTGAGACAAAATGTCAATTTTACAATCTCAATTAAATATAGTTAAATATCATTTAATATTCAATTGCACGTTTAATATATAAAATCATCATCAAAAGTAAAGAAAATTCAATAATATGGGCAAGTCTCGTACTGAATTGTTTTTTCAAACTAGAGTATAATGCTGGCATTATATGGATATATATTTTTAAAGCTGCAATCTTTTACAATTTGGTTTAAAATTAAAAATAGGGAACAAAAAAATTAAAAAATTGTTTCGCTTCACCGTAATATATGTCTGTTTGCACATACTTATGTGTTTAAATACTTACATATGGACAAACAATGGATCCGTAGAACCAATTAAGTGGTAACTTAATCCCAGATTGAATAAACTGCTCACTAGCAAAATAAATTTCAAAATTAGGTACCCAAAAATCCGGATGTTATGAATAAAAGCAATTGCACCTGGAAGCTCAAATGTGTGACCGACAAGCTTTATGAAAGTCGAATACAATGTATTCAATAAATACTATATTCAATTAAAAGTGTTACACACACAGACGCTGTATTTGTTTCTTTGATTTTATTTTGATTTAAATTTTACTACATTTACTTAGGACATTTTTCACCTTCACAGAAGTGCGTAAATATTTCCTTTTTCTACCCCAAAAAACACACATAAAACAGAAGAAAATCTTACGAAAACCCATGGACATGGTATTGTTCATTTTTGCAATTGGCCTATAAATAAAAATAAATATATTGTTTGGGGGATTATTATTTGGCCCAAGATAAATGCTGACTTGAATGAATTCTAAGATCCGTTTAAGAAGCCAGATCTTTACATTTACCATTTTTATTATTTACGAAACAAACTCAATGCTAGCCTTCAGGCTATCCATTCTCTGAATACTGGCTTTAACGGCCTGTTCAGCCGAAACGGTTAACAGAGTTCTTTGACAGCGCACTGGGAATAGTCATGCGCTGCCAGAATGTTCTACCCCTAACAAGGAAACACACGGAAACGAAATGACATGGAACGAAATGGAACACGAAGTGTCGCAGGGGTAGAGCGATTCAAAGGAACTGCGCATGGAACAGAGGGGTAAAACGATACTGAAACCGAAGGAGAAAGCCACGGAACATGGAATTTAGAAGCCGAAAGGATGCTGCGATATGAAACACCACACGACATCACACGAGCTACAAATTGGCAGCATTGGCATCTGTGCAAGTGCCGAGTGGTGACTGCTTCCTTTGGGCGCGATTTATTTGGAATTTGCATGGCTGTGCGTCGGACGTCGAGCGGGAAAATCGAGTCGCTCGGAACCCACAAGAAGCCAGAAACAGAAACAGAGCCAGAGTCAGAGTCCGATCCAAGCGAGAGCGCGCTAAGGCAAAAGTTTCAAACGGTTTTGGGCAAAGGCAACGTTGAATGCACTTCGGAGATTCATCAGTGCGCGCGTTCGTGGGCCTTTTGTTTACGCGGGTTTTACGGAATGTGTGCCAAATAGGATGAGGGCGTGGACACGCCCATTCAAGTTGCTGCATTAAGTGAGGAGAAGTGATGTGAAGTGAAGTGAAGTGAAGTGGAGTGAGGTACATATATATATACACACAAGTACATGGTGCCATCTTCGCCTGCTCCATCATCCATCAGTGGTGGGGTGGAGACAACAGTCTGCCAGATGTGAGCCATGATTGTGAGTGCAATGTGTCTTTTATAAATCAAGGAAAATCACATTTTAAATTGCTGCGCATTAGAACGGATACAAAAGCCAAGCCAGCCAGCAGGCAAGCAGAGAAAGGACAGAGAAAGCAATGAAAGGCAGGCCAGATCGAAAGTCAAACGCCGTCAAACGCTGATTGCGACGTCGCCTATCCACAAAAGGGAAAATAAACCAGAAAAATATACACTTACAAATATATAGCCGTAGAATAAAATAAAAAGGAAACGCGGAGGATTTGACTGATGTGAATGAAGTGAAAGATGTGACTCCTGCGCGAGTGCTTGGATAGGGATAACCCCATTCCGAAGAGGGGCACGTGCACCGCCCCACGTAGGCGGCCATTGTTTAGCCCACATGTATTTCAATTTGATTATATTGATGAGCATATGATGTAATATATGGAGATATAATCTGATTAGAGGCAGAGGCAGAGGCAGAGGCAGGTGGCTTAGAGGCACTTGAGACTGAGCTCTCCTCCGCCTAAAGCATGCGTCGTACTCGTACCATCTGGCTCTTTCCTTGTTGTTTGCGGGTCGTGCTCTGCAATAGATTTTAAAACTCATTAATGTGCAAAGACGCCAATTTCCCAAGTCTCTGCCCTTCGTTGTAGGTGTCATTAGACAGGTGAGCAAAACTCTGGGACCCAGGGAGCGGAAGGGGACGAGAAGAAGAGCTGACAATGATACTGGCAAATCAATAAAGGTGTGGAAACAGGTGCCGCAACTGGGCCAAGACATTTGATAGCAGTTCAAAAGGAGAAAGAAAGGAAGTATAAAATAAATACAAAAGGGAAAGGATTTCACGCTTGACAGCGCAAAAGCAAATGGCAAAAATAAATATTATATCTCCCGATCAAACCGAAATAAATCGTTGATTAATTGACGGAAGCTCGGAGGGAACTTGCAACTTGGATAACTGGGATAAAGTTCTTTAAATAGCTGAGTGGAAACAGTTTAGATGATTAGGAAAGCAAAACGGATTACATTTACACAGCTGAAGAGTTTCACATTCGAGATGATTAAGGAATTTAAATGGCACAAACAAATATGTAGAAATAGCTTAAAAATAATTGTTCAATATATGGAGGGACTTTCGAAATAACACAAAGATAACTAGGTAGATAAAATGGAGGCATATCCAAAAGATTTTTCTCAGGAATACTCGTACATACGTACTATGCATGGACATATGTACAGACTAGTCCGAGTACATAATCAGGGACCATCAATCTAGGGCTCTTTTGTTGGGAAATACTTGGACACTGAGATAGGCATTCGTCAATCTTGCCTCAAGTTAAATGGAATTCCTGGGAAAAAAAGAATTTATCGTCTTCGTATAAATTAGCTCGAAATTAGATTAGGATATCATTTCGGCAGGACCAAGCCCAACGTCCGCGGAAAGCCCGGTAAGCGGGGAAAGTAGTCTTTCTCGTAGTCTGTGCCCCACAGTGGGATATTTTCCTGGAAATAAATATCAATTTGTTTGTTAGCTCACCCAATTAAACACTCATCCACAGAGCCACATCGTGACCCCATCTATTTCCTCTAGTTTAGGGATAGGAATAATGCATTTGGATGTCGGTTTTGGGGACCCGACTTCGATTTGCCGGCTGTGAGCCACATAAATGCTGCATCCGGGCATTAGCTTGGAGGATTCAGCACAGCTTTTCAGGCCAATCGACAGCAAGAACAACAAAATAAAAAAATCTCCCGATTCAGCAGCCATTACAAATTTGCCAAACTCAGCAAGGATTCGCCTGCGAAAGCAGAAACAGAAGCATCAGAGAGGGTGAGACTGTGCCGAGACGGAGAGGGAGAACCAATGCAATTCATTAATTTATTGACTTATAATCAAGGCATCTAAAAACTTATGCCCAGAGGCAGAGGCAGAGCAAGAACAAGATAAATATACATTTATCACATAAATAGAACACTAGCAGCAGCCGCCCGGAGGCCAAAAAGCAAAGCTCGAGGCACTCCTCTGCGGTTGTGGCTGACTCCTGGGCTCCTGGTGGCTTGCCTCCTGGTGGCTGCTGCCATGTTTGCTGGGACCCACTGGGAAAGTTATCTGTAGGTCTTTTTGCCTTTCTCTCGCCTGGCTGCTGCGGTTGGCTTTACCAAATAAAGCACGAAATAAGCTAAAGCATACGTTTTCGGCCTGCGGTTCTAAGTACTCCAAAGAAATATCAACAAAAAAACGTGAAGTCGGAGATATACAGTCACGTCCTGACTGGGTCTCCCCCCCCCCCCCCCCCCCCCCGTATTGGGGTAAAGGCATTTCGGTATGCAAATCCGACCAAGAAGACTTCATAAAAGCAATGCAAATAATTAAATAACAGAACGGAGAAGGGAAAACCCAGAGCACAGAGAACAAAAACCAGAACACGAAACATACAGCGGCAGCACGGGGGAACCGTGCCAAATGACGTGCTACTTGAGCTGGCGAAACTTGGATTAACTAGCTCCCAGAGAAATAAATATAGCACCGAAAAATAACACAATAAAACCCCAAACCCAAACCCAAACCCGAAAACCAAAACCTAAAACCCCGAACCAAACACTGAACCCAATCCCGGCAAGGAGGAGCAGGAGCAGGATCCACGACAAGGTGCGACATCCGACAGAAATCCTTCGTCGCCGCGCACCCAATAAAATGCCCTGTCGGAGTACGCGCCAAGCAAGGCCGGGACTAGGAGGAAGAGGAGCATTGGGCAGAGGAGTCTGCTCCCTCGTCGGCGTCCCCTTGTTGGCCGGGAAGGCGGGCACTGCCAGCATACTGCTGGCATTTCTGGCAGCTGTCAGCTTTCGTGGCATGCGTGCGCGTAAGTGTAAACTTCTTTTACTTTGTCTGAGTCTGGGCTTGGGTGTGGGTTGGATATGCCTCCCGCCGTCCCAACCGACATTTCTCAGCGTAAATTTCTTCCAAAATTCACCAAAGTTTTGGCTGAAAATGCCAAATATTCTTGGCGAACCTTGATTGTTTTTAGACGTATCAACATTGACGCTAAGCTTACAGTACGCACCCTGTCCAATTAGCGATACTTTTCTTTGATTTACCTAAACATTAACACTGTAATTTAGGTCAGACATTTGTTAAGTAATCCTACATTGATGTGCATTTACTTTGGTTGAATAGTCGTAAGATATTTAGGATATACTCGTATGGTGTAGAGACGAACTGAATATTTAAGTGGGATAATCCCGAATCGCTTTGCATGTAACTTTTTACTCAACCACGAGTATGTTGGCCCTTTGACAAATCCCAATTGCAGTTAGTCAAAGCGCTAACTGAACCACTTGCCGCAGTAACTCTTTCAACCGCATAACAATTTCCGGGCAATCCCTTGATCCCCTCACAGGCGAATCCACAGCACGGAACGCCCCCAGAGACCGACCTTGTGTTTTAGCATATTCCCTGCTTCTCGGTGCACCCCTGTCCAACTTTTTGGCTACGTGTTACGCTCCACTCCGTACCGTAACGCTCTGCCCTGCCCTGCCCTGCCCTGTTCTGATCTGCTCGGGGCTGGGCTTTTGTTTTTGCATGCATAGTTAATTCAATTTCGCACATTTTTGTGCAAGTGTCGAGAAGCGTTTGCCAAATTTAATTTACATGATGAGATTTGCCTGGCTGCATTGTCGTTTTCGTTCTGGTTGTCGTTGGCAACTCGTTGGCACGATTTTTATAAGCTTGTCGACTTAATTTAATCGTACAGTGCGAATTTTCGTTTAGCCAAATGCCACACACACGCCCTAAGACTGAGACACACACGCACGCACACACGACGATTGTTGGGCACCTGTCACAGCACATGGAAATGCTCCCTTACAGTGGGGGAAGAGGCGACACAAACTCATTACGCATACGCATCGTGTCAAGTCCCCAGTTTGACTTGGCTTGACGCTGACGCTCGGTGTGGTATTTGCTTTCGTTTTTGGGGCTTTCGAGTAGTTTATGAAAATGCCAGGCATATTTTCTAGGCTCGTCTAATTGGAACATGGCCCCTGGCAACAGCCTCAGATACAGTACCAGCCTCAAGCCATGGCAAGTACCACCCTCAGACCTTTGAATCCCAATCTCGAGTTGATTAAATTTTCTGCGTCAGGTTGTGTGTGTGGTGGGTGCCTGTTCAACAGGTCGCAATCGTAATGTGATTGTTTCCCATCTGGTAAATTACCATCAATCCAAGTGGCAACTCTACTCTACATTGCCCAAATGAAGTTCTCTAATTGATAGTTTGGGTGCCAATTGCACTGCCGAAACTCAAACTAAAATGAATAAATTAACATCAAAGTACGAGTATGTCAACTCGTTGGACATGCACTTGTGTTATTTGTATTTGTTAACACACACTCATATTTATTATTATTATTTACATATTTGAGCTGTGACAACATATAAACAAATATTTACAGAGAATGCCCTGCCGTAAGTGATTTTCGAACAGCTTAAAGTTCCTTTCCAACAATTCGAGTATGCATTTATCATCTTGTTGGGCTGTTAATCTTTTTGCTCTTCTCTAATCAATCTCAGTTGAACTGCTGCTGCTGCTCTGGCCAAAGCAATATCATCAACAACACACATACGTCGGGGTATAGCCCCCAGTGGACACTCATATGTGATGTAATTAAATCGGGGACCAGCAAAAACAGACTCGGAGATAATTTGGCAAAACAAAAAATCAGCAGACACTCAAATAACACTTAAGCCATCAATCAGTGCCCATGGCCAAGGTCGCAGCACGGGGCTGCTGGCAGCCAAGGCCACGCCCATGTCCATCTGCAGGGGACTCTGTTAATTATGTTAGGACAATGAGCCGCATACAAAACCATTCGAGGCCCTCCAACTATGTATAGTGTGTTATATAAGAGATACAAGTATTTACCATAGCAGGGCCTCCCAAGACAAATGGCGGTCAAATGTCACGTTTAATTTATTTATGGCCCAAAGACACACAACAAATGCAGCACGGGGAGTGGAGTGATGCGTACGGGTGGGAGTAGCCCCAAGGCACTGGGCAATGGGCGCCAAGGCTTTAATTAAATAACTGCGCTAAGTGGAGCCAACTCTTTGGCGTCGCTAATACAGCCATTAGCCTCATTCGTTGAGAGGCCATACATTTGCACGTTGGCGCAGCCGCTCCCGGACACGAATCGCCAAACAATTCCCGCACTTTGTGTTCCCTTTGAATACTTTTCGAGCAGTGTCAGACGATACTTAATTAAATTCATTTTGTTCCTGGAATTTCAGTTTTTATATACATATGTATGTATTGTATATATATTTACTCCCAACCAACAGCTTTCATCCTAAGATCAACGCAAATAATGCTCCGAATTAATTTTTGGTTTATTCGTATTTTTTAATTGTTTGGATTGGAATGTAACTGACCCTCAAACCCTACTTTAAGCCTTAATTTTAACTGATTAATATTATTGCCTCTGCTATTTATGGAGGGAGCATCTTTTGTGCCAACATTTAGTATTTAATCCTGTACCATCCTCGACATTTTCCATGTAACTTGTGTGTTGTGTTACCTCTCCTGATTAGGAATTAATTCAATATCAATGGTCTCTCAACATGTCATCCTGTAACGGATGCCAAACACTCTCTAAATATGTGGATCAAGTACATAAATCATGTATTCAGTAAATAAATGGGGCGACCAGCCAGAGAGGTCTGTAATTTAGGCCTTATAATGGACACACACGCGGATGCCTGTCCTCTGGTAATGAGCAGCAGGAGCCAGCGATATTAGGCCAAGCCTCTTCGACCTCTCGGGTGGATTGTTGGTGGATGTTGTGTATTTGTTTAGTCATGTGTGTAAATTATGGCCGAAAACAACGACAACATCGCTGCCAAAGAAAAGACAACAATTGTCAATCAGCAGAAAAGACAACCCAACCCTAGAGCTGCGAAATAGGGATTCGAGACGTGGAGGCAGAGGTGGAGTCTGGGGCATAAATGCTTTAAAGCAATCGAAGGCAGTCGAGTGCTAAATGGGCGCGTCCGTCCCTCGTTCATCGTCCTCAATCTGCCACACCCACGTGTAATTGCTGTGCGGCGTGTTGTGTGTCGCACGCTGATGTTCTGAGAGGAGTACGTACGAGTACGAGTATTTGAGTATATGCCACAAAAAGTCGACTCTGAGAAGTCGTCGTCATAGCCGTTGAAGTGAGCGAAACAACGCGTCGCCTTTTGCCTCAAAACAACACGAGAAACAACAAGAAGAAATAAAGTAAAGCAAAGAAGCCCATAAGGAATCGATAGGCGACCAATGAATGCCCTGAAGAATCGATTTAAATTTATTTAAAATCGTTTTTTCTGACAAAAATTGAAACCTATTGTGGCATAAACGGTGGAATATCCTGGGGAGAGATAGCAACATCAATCATAGATCTATGCATGCAGAATCTATCGGAGCATCTCTCATCGCACCATCAACATCCATTGAGGCAACCACAATGAGAGTTGAATCCTAGTTGCCCCGCAATTCAAAGGGTAACCGCAACAAAAACGTCCAACCATTGATAAAATGGGGCGACGGGTGCTGATGTGGGTCGTCGCTTACGGAATGGGATTGTGGCAGGGGAGCAGAGCAGGAATTTATGATTCCATTTTTGCTTTTTTCCTTCTTCGGCTTTTCTCTGCCAAACAGCCTCCGGGCGTGTGTGGCTGAAGAGGCAGAGGAGAAGCGAAGTGTGTCTTTGGGGACTGGAGCCATGCAAATGGCTCTGCTGCGACTCTTGAGCTTCCGTCGCAACAATGAGAAATGTTTGAACGTGGCCCCCGCCACCCATGAGTATGACTGAGCATCATTGGCCCAACCCCGTCGGATCTACGCCCCTGTGCGGCTCAGTTCGGCTCGATTTGTGTGTGTTCAACAACCATTTGAGCTGTTCGATTATGCATGTGTGCCGCCAAGAGGGGGTTGTCGCATGTGCCGTGTGTGGAGTGGAGCACGGGGTGCGCTGTGCGCTGTGCGTGCGTTTGCCGATATTTGCTGAATGTTATGAACCAATAAATGACAAGTTATGCCCTCTAATTAATGCGCCTAAACATGCGACAAGCATATGTGACGCTAGTTGAATGCTTTTGGCTTTTCCTAATGGGGCGAGATCCTTTGGAAGGGATTCCATTCCCCCTCCTTAATTTGGGAACACACATACATACATGTACACATATGTAAATGTTTGTACATGAATTCTGTGAAGCCCACAATCCCCAAAGGAGGAGGCTCCACATGAAGTCACTTTTTGTGGCCACACATCATGGCCGGCCGGTCTGGCATTTCATTTTTCAACTGTCAGACAACTACCCACACTGGCAGTGTCAGTTTTGACCCGGGATGGGGTTATCTGGTGGCGCCTCGGGCGTGAATACTCCTACATGCAGAGAAATTAAAATGACATTAGGTCAGAGGAGCGTAAAAAGTCAAGCCATGGCTTCCTTTTGCTTCTCTTATTTCTTTTTTCTTTCAAAGAAATTGGGTATGAAAATCACATTTTATCTCGAACGGACGGACACTGGCCTGGCCTTCGGGGCACAATTGAGTAGCATTTAAGCTTTATAATAAATAACACACTCTTTAGATTCGAATCTGACGTGGCACAGGACAATCAGCTGTCAAAATTATAGTTGTACAACATTTATCCTGAGGTGTTCAACAGTTTTGATTCAACTTCTTGCCATTGTCAGTTGTCAGTGATGGCAGAAGTTTAATTTGTTTACATATCGAATTTTCCAGGCCCCTATCGCTCGTCTATCGATGTTTGCCTCAAACAGTTGCCTTTTCAATATTCCCGCAAAAACTTATAACTATAAGCAACCAGAAAACAAAAAGTAAATACAAATTGTTGTATTGTTCTATCAAATAGAAATACTCGTGGCCAAGATTCAGTTCAGCGTCAATTTATTTAAAAGTTTTCTTTTTATTTTGACTTTTGCCACATTATGACAACCCTGGAAAGCGCACGAGAAACACAATGTGGTTTTTTTTTTGCTGCTTTGGTAGTTTGGCAATTTTAGTACCAATTTCCTTTGTGACTACATTTTGGAACAGCTTAAAGTGCGCGGGAAGTAAGTGAGATCTGATTTAAGCCCTCCACGATCCTCCTGACCCACGATGTCTTCCCAAGAATACCTCAACAAGATGAAAACCAGAAGCCAAGTCGTCCATAAGAAGCTTCAAGCTCCCGAGAATTTCAATGAGCGTGTTCGCAACTATCTGATCAATGGGCCCAATCGGAGCGACATCTGCGACAAGGTCGTGGTCGCCATGGGGCAGGTTAACATTGCGGCACTGCTGATCGAAAGCGGCATTGAGGATGATAAACTGCGCAATATTTTCCACGTGTTGGCCCAGCGCCTGAAGTGCATGCGGCTGCAACTGGCGGACATTCCTAGGCTACTAGATCTGTGCCGGCGCATTGGGGCGCCTGAGCTCACCGCAGTCCGGGCTCTTATGGTTCTGGCAGGCGAGAATGGCAGTCAGCTGGAGCTGCTTGGGTCGCTGACGCCTGCCATCGAGGTTTTGAAGGTGTGCTGCAGCATCGATGGGCCATTTCCGAAACTAAAGAAGGTGTGCCTCGTACACCTCATTGGACCTGTGGCCCAGAAAACACTGGAGGAACTCTTTCGCAACTGTCCGTCACTGCGCAACTTTGAGCTGAAGGATGACAGCAGTCCGCCGAACAACCTGGACATCCAGAGCATCATGCAGTGCTCGCACCTGCAGGTGGCAAGGCTGCCTCTTCTGCTGAAGAACCCGATTGCCCTGTGCAAGCTCAGCAGCCTGAAGTACCTCTCGCTGCATAGCGAGGTTCACTGGCAGCGCAACGACTGGCTGGTGACTGTCCAGCAGATCATCAATGCCAAGCAGCTCGAATTGGGGGGCATCTGCTTCGACGGCACCTATCTCCGCTTCCCGCTGAACCTCTCCTCGCTCCTGCTGGCCCGCTGCACAGCCCTTACCGAGGTTCATGTGAGCCACTGCAAGCTCGTGGAGGACAGCAATCAGCCGCTGCCGCTGCCCTTCAGCTGCCAGCGCCTGCGGTTGCGCCACTGCACACTCGGCACGTTCAACCTATTCCTAGAGAGCTGTCCCGTGCTGCAACAGATCGATGTCTTCAACTGCAAGTTCTTCCAGAAGTCGAAAGTCCTCTCGCAGGCCCTCGCCAAGCGGAAGACGCAGCCCATTATGCGTCCCGTGTATATTAAAGTTTCCGAGTCGCAGAAACTTGAGTTGGAGTACAAGAAGTGGAGTCCGGAAGAGCAGCTGGCAGCCAAGCATTGGTTAGACATAGAAGTGCTCAAGAAAGGTCATGTTCCCTTCTTGGAGGATATGCCCCTGGGAACAATAGTCTTTCGATTTGTCCAAGCCAAAAACAGACTGCCCGCCTTCATGTTTGATCCCAGCTATCCAGGCAGCGCGGATCTAAAGAAGGAATTGGAGGCATTGGAATTGGCAGCTGATCTGCCGAGTGCTAAACCTGCAGAAAGTTCCAATTAAATATTTCCCCTCTTACCTCTCTAGATTACCAAATGTATTGTGAGACTGTATCTCAGAGAGCTTGAGAGAACGTGCCTTAATTTTAGAAATAAAATAAAAATGATGAAAACCCTTTTGTGTGCCACATTAATTTCTGTACTGAACGGGTAATCCCCTCAAAGTTGACAAATGTTCCCCCATTTGAGCCGCGTGGCATCCAGCATAACCTCCATCTACATATCAAAATCCAACCTCAAAAGGCTTCTGGCACATGTGTCCTCTGTCGTATTTGTTTTAGAATCTCTGTTTATTCAGTTCGTTGGTTCTTTGGGGAGCTTTGCCTCTTTTTTTGTGTTTTTTGTGTTATCAAAGGTTATCAAAAACAAGGGCAGAATTGAAATTAATGTTTGTACCGCATGTAATTAATAATAAAAGAAATCGCGCAAAGCAAATTAAATTAATCTGCCTGTGAGTGTGTGTAACTGGGCTGTTAGCCTGTCCAGAATGGCGCTTAATTAGGCCAACTCAGCTCCCACGTCGCAAACTCCGTCCTGCCATTGCCGCTGCCTGGTCATTTTCCTGTAACTTTATGTTTGAGCAAACCTAATGGGGAGCCCGCCAGCTCGACTGCTCGAGTTAATCCGGTTAACCAATCCCAAAAGCAATGTTAAACAGTTGTAATTGGGCGTTACCTCCATATGGAAGGCAGAAGCAAAAGCACTAGATCGTAAATTCCATTAGCCCTGTCTGCCTGGGCATCAATGGTTGGCTCGAACAAGAATACATATGTTGTGCCAGAGAATATATGAGACCATTCAAGATGGAACATGGAAAAGGATAATCGTTGTATTAATATTATATCCAAATATTATGTAAATCATTTTGAAATATATTTAAAACCGTTGTCCAAATACTCCTATAAATGGAAAAAATATTTATATTCTCTAATCAAATTCGTAGATACTTGCTATATTCTGCAGCATAATCCCAGTGAAACGTTAAGCGTCGCAACATTTGGTTTTAATTCCGACCAGTTTCCAAACGATATAATCCATGTATCATCTCTCATGCCACCAGTCCGATTAGGCACGAAGCCTTCTCCCAGCCGAAGCCCTGAACCGGGTTTGGCCTTTTTCAACTTTGCACTCGAATGAATACGAAATTCACGCGAAATTCCCTGACAGTACCCGCCACGACAGCGACACAACGATAAAGTTGCCCCCTACCACTGCCATAACAGCCCAAAAATCCCCCAATTTGAATTATTATGTTATTGTTGCTGCCGCTGTTTTGTTTGCACGATGGGCGAGATGGAGCATGGGGACTGGACTGGATTGGATTGGATTGGACGGGGAGAGCTAACTCGACCCAAAAAGTTTCCACCAATCATTGCTCAACCATTAGAGTAGAAATTTTAAATTTATTGCTCCGACAATGGCATTAACAAAGTAATATTTCAGAGACCTTTAAATGATTTCAATTACTATGTGCCCAAAGTGAATGACGAGGGGCAGCAGCAGAGGCAGATCCAGGGGCAGGCGCAGGAAACCCTAAAAACCAAAATCAGTTTATGTGGTCAAGTGTACATTTACACTAATTACCGCACAACAACAATTGTTGCTGCTCTCATTTGTTTGTCCGTTTCAGATGTATTTTTTCCTGTTGTTGTAATTGTTTTAGTTGTCGGCTGTTGTTGTTTGGTATAAACTTTGTGTGCAAATAGTTTTTAATTACATAGATATGCAGGCAGCAAGTGAAAAAAACAATGGCACATCTAACGAGAAACTAAAGTTGAAACGAACTGAGGATGCCCCAACGGGCAATGCCCTGTAAGGGATGTAAGTCCATAAATATTTGTAAAATGTTCAAGCTATGCAACACAAATTGAGAATTGTATTACTTTTGAGATCAGAATCAGAATGCTAGAATCCTAGAATCACCCTCCCTCTATGCACTTTAATTCAAAATTGCAATTTAGTTAGTCGGATGAGCATAAAGCGCCTAGCCTATGTGGTTAACCCTATTGTTAGGAATTGTTTGAGCCAATGAAAGAGGAGTGCCAATAAGTGAAGCTAGTGAACAATTAAGCCACAAACTAGAGCCAGTCGTTGATGGACCTCTGCCTGGAAATGCCTCTGCCTCTGCCCATGGCCCAACAATCCAACTTCAAACTTTGCTCGAATCTCATTTACGCAGTGGAGCATGGTTTTCCCATCTGGCCACAATGAGTGCTGGAACTTTGCATTAAAGTGGAACTTATTTAAAGCCCACAACATCGGCTACTTAGTTAGGACATTCGCCTGCGGGCACTGGGGCAGTGGGGCAGCTGGACCAACAGCAGTGAGAGCAGAAAGAGCAGCTCAAGAGCACCACTTTCTGTTCGTGCTGAAAGTGCAAAATGGAAAACTATTCCAGCGAATTGTTCTCAAGCGAAACATTTAATAAAAATGTAAGCCTGAGAGGGAACTCAGCTGAATCTTTTCCCCCCTCTTCATTCTGTGTGTGTGTGTGTGTGTGCCAGCATTTGGCATAATATTATTTACATAATAAATACTTAGTTGTTATTTGTTATGCTGCGCGTAAATTTGCAGCCGGAGGCGAGACACCAGAACGGGAAACCAGAGAAACAAAGCCCCGACAGCCCCCCAACACACCACACACCAAAAGGCGGGCAGGCAGAGCCTAGTTCTAGCTGTAGCTTTGGGGGTAGGAGTTTTAGGGGTAAACCCATGGCATGGCTACAGCTGCGGGGTGGAGGAGGGAGGTTCCATGGAGAGCGTCGTAAGCCACCGCAGAATATATAATGTGGTAGGCGTTGGTAGGGACAGTAATTTGAGGCCCATCTGCGAGATTTTATGCTCTAATAAAATTGCAATGTGGCCGCGAGCCGGCGGACTGATTGGATCAGGATAAGGACCACGGACAGCACTTACAGAGAGAGAGAGAGAGAGAGAGAGAAAGAGAAGAGGACTCTTTAATCTCGTCCAACTCAAAAGCTCTAATTGAACAAATTGTGTTTCAAATTTTGAAGCGCACTGCTCACAGATAGACACATACAACACACACAATTTGGAGTTCGTTGGGCAATTCCCACCTGGGTGCCCTGTCCAGTTTACCAGTTCTTCTTGTACTGCTCGAGGGAAACCTCGCCGGGACCCAGGACCACGACCATCAGCAGACCCCCCACCACGGACAGGGTGTGGAAGCAGTTGTACTTCAGATAGTCCCGCTCCAGTCCCTCGGCGAACCACCAGGCATTGACGCTCATGTTCCAAATGCTCAGGATAATGGCCAGGAGCAGGGCCGCTGGCCTCGTGCGATAGCCCAACAGGATGAGGGTCATCAGGAGCAGGCCGAAGCTATTGAGAACCACAGCTGCGAGGCCGAAGTACTGCTGAAGCACTGTCAGATACATGAGGGACAGCAGGATCCTGCCCGTGAACTGCATCAGGTGCTGCGATCGTCTGGGCTCCTTCAGCAGCGGAAGACCTGCGCGCGCTCCATAGATACGACAGCAGGAGGCCGCTTCATTGGCCTCCACAAGGAGCAGGAGCAGTCCTCCAAGCAGGGAGAAGTTCCGCAACAGCTGTTCCAGCTGCAGGGGCACAGAATAGACGTGCAACTGAAAGAGGACCAGGCCAACCAGCAGTGTTACCGCCACATTGGTCCACACACGAAACAGAACCAGACCGCAGCCCACAAGCTGGCCCAAAAGGTTGACCTGACAGCTCAGGAAGGCCACGCCCCATGAGAAGTTCAGGTGCAGCTGGAGGAAGTATATCTGGTCGCCCCACTGGCACCACATGCGCAGAGCGTCCTCGAAGAAGGTGGCCACCAGGCAGAGACGCGCCACAGTGGGCAGCACGAGGCGACTCCGACGAACGACCTCGTCGCCAAGATCCTCCGCTCGCGTCAGCCAGTCTGTCCACATATCCATGTCGGAGCTGCGCAGAGAAGGATAGCGGATGCGGATGCGGATGTGGCTGCCACTGGGTGTCCAACTCCACTTACATGCAAACTGTTTTCTCTCTTCCGTCGCTCTTCTCGCTGCCAGGGACACAAAAACTAGCAAATATTATTTTCGTCCAGTGTCACACTGATTAATTTAAAATCAAAACAAAAACTACTTGTTTCCTTTTGACCTAAAAAGCATTTCGCGCACAATTCCCTCTCCTAATTTCGGGATGAAAAATTATTTCCTGCTTCGCATAGTTTGAAATGTTCACATTTTTCCCATCGGTAATTACGCGTCGGCGGCAGGGGCCCACCGTTGCGAGTAGCAGCTGCTGTGACAAAATATAAATTCACACGAAATTATGTCCCATCAATTGCGAGATTGTTCTGCCACCGAAAAAAAAACGGAATCACTTGACCCGAAACGCAATCGAATCGAAAGCCCTGAGCAAACAAATTTGCATTTTTGCCATGATGAACTGCAATTTGCTGCCGGAAAATGTATATCAATTTTCCAAAAAATATATTTCACAATTTGTCAATTAATAGACAAAAGGCTTTGGCTAATGCGCTCAATTGTAAGCTCTGTTTATAGACAAATGCGAAATGCAATTACTTAGAGTGCTGTTGGGAATATCCGACCATGGGGTACTGCAGGGAAATAATTATTGAATTATATTTAAGATAGTTACAAGAATTATGTGTCTTTTAGGTTACATCTAAACGATCCCAACGAGAATACCCCCCACTCTATCTGAAACAACTTTTACCCAGCCCTAGTTTGACAGCTGTGCGCTTTTGCCGTCAGTTGGCAGGCCTAAAACCATTATTCGGAAAGGAGAAACTTCGATAAGATTGCCACACTGATGCCTGTTTCATTCTTGACCTATTTTGCAGCGCTGACAGCGAGTGCGGCGCCCATGGGGGAGAACGCATCGCTAATTGCACCAACAACTTTCTCCCCAACCATCACAATGGCCGCAGCCGTGGTGGGAGTGACAGGAGTGGAAGGAGCTGGAGCTGGAGCTGTCATGCGGCTGCGAGGCGGCGTCAATCAGGCGGCTGCCATGGAGGCAACCACAGTGGAGCAACTGCAACAGGATCAACAGCAGCAGCAGCAGCAAACGGTGGACATCTGGAGCGAGAGGCCCGATACAGCAACGCTGACAAAAGGCTTTTCAATACCCACGTATCTGCCGCCCTTTCCGGACTTCATTCCTGCCGATTTGCCGCAGATACAAAGGAACACCAGTGCGTGGGCGAGAAAGCCGACGGATGGCAGACTGATGACATCTAATGAGCATCCACCGCAGTTGCAATCCCCGACTCAGGGACAGGGACAGTCCCAGTCCCAGTCCCAGTCCCAGCCACGACTCCATGCCTACGACAGCGAACAAAAGGAGCTGCAGCTGAGGCGTGAAAAGGAGCTGGCCAAGGAGCGGGAGCAGCTGCCACGTCGACAGCTCAGTCTGCCTCCGATTAATGCCACCGTGCAGGCCGGCCAGCATGCCTATCTGCCCTGTAAGGTAAGTGCGGGAAGTGTGGGAAATGGGAAGCTGCAAGTTGAGTGGCGTAATTGAAAGCATCCACTGAATAGAGCCCGAGTCGCTAAGCACCTTCTGTATCCCTCTTCTGTCTCTGTCTCTGTCTCTGTGTCTGCATTGCAGCTCAACCAGCACTCAAACAAGCCCCTCTCCTGGGTGCGCTTGCGAGACGAACATATCATTGCGGTGGATCACACAACCTTCATCAACGATGCCCGCTTCGCATCGCTGCTCCAGTCAACGACACAGTCCCCTTCCACGGCAACCACTCCCACTGGCATTATGGTCATTCCGGCGAATGCCTCCAGCCCGGAGGATAGGGGCAATGAGAGCAGCTTGAGCTGGACCCTGCAAATCAAATACGTGCGGCTGGAGGATGCCGGCTGGTACGAGTGCCAGCTGGCCACCGAGCCCAAAATGAGCGCCAAGGTGCAGCTGTTTGTGATAAGTAAGTGCACAGGCTGTAAACCTTCGAACTAGCTAAACTAACGCGAATTTATCTGTACCACAGCACCTCGAACCGAGCTAATTGGCGATCGGCAGCGCTTCGTGAAGGCTGGCAGCAAGGTGGAGCTTCACTGCATTGTTCGGGGCACACTGGAGGCCCCTAAATACATATTCTGGTATCGCGGGGAGCAGCAAGTGACGGCCGAGAACGAGGCCAGCGGCGCCCAGAGCGGCTGGTACACGCAAATCGATAGGAATATCTTTGGCAGCACCGAGCACAATCGGAATACGGTAAGGGCTTTGCCAGAGGGCTTTCCCAGCTATCCAAAGAGCATTTCAATGATGAGGAATAAACGGTTTTGCAGATTGGCTCGCTGGTCATTCCGCTGGTGCGCAAAATCCACTCCGGCAACTATACGTGTGAGCCGGAGAACAGTGCTGCGGTGTCCATGCAGTTGCACGTGCTTAGCGGTAAGTGGGATTACATCGAGCCATTCGCATTGTGCATAATACACGCCAATAATGTACCATTTCAGGGGAATACTCCGCTTCGGCCATCAAGTCAGCGGCCGCAGGGCTCCATAGACTGGGCCATGGCTACAGCAGTCTGCACCAGTGGCTAATTTTCCTCCTGGTGGCTCTGAATAAGACATGAGTCTCTAGCCACCTCTAGTCAAGGTGCTTGTCTAAGACATTAGTTTACTTTTAGATCAATTTCACACTACCCACACAACCACACACACACACACACACGATTACATTGTTTGTTCCGCGGACACTTCTTCCCGTACCGTCTAAGCTGAAATTTTGGCCGATACGAAACAAGTTTTTTATACAAATTCTAGGCATAATACTGTTTTCCTTTGCTATAGCTGATAGGTCTAGGTCTGGCTAAGCATTATACTAAGCATCTACATGCATAATTCTGAGTAACAAAATCGAATATTTGCGTAAATAAATAAAGCCTAAGGCGCCTTAAGTAAGGATATGTCTATCTAAATGGCTGTTTCACCTCCACAATAGAACAGAATGGACTTGAATGAGCATTCTCAATAGTAATTATCATCTTAATTCATGTTAATTCAACAACTTTGCACACATTGCCATACCAGAGCTGACTCTTAATGGTTGTCATCATCTGGAGTTTTGTCTGCTGCTGACTTTTCCATCTCACCTTAAGCTCTCTCCAATTAACAGCTGCAGCTTATGCAATCTTCAAGTTTGTTCCTAATTCCGTTACCCCCATCATCTCCGTTACGGCGTACTCATTAAAATGTTGTCCATCAACATCCACAACCCGATCCCCATCCACCCATCCACCCATCCACCCACAATCCCTGCCCAAGTGCTCTTCATTTCTCTTGAGCAAATTATCTGCATATTTTTAAATGCAAATAAAGAAACCTGTCAGAAATCTCTTGACGGGTGGAAGCGAGTAAGGGCAGGCTAAAGAAATCTCTAAGCTGCACCAAAGCCGAGCAAAATGCAGGGGAAATGAGGGAAAACTACTATTGCTAAAGTCTTTGTCCAGTTTTTGTTTTCTTTTTGTGGCTCTGTGGCTGCAGGGGGGCTTTTGTTTTATGGCCTGGCCAACTATAATTTTGCACGATTCTTCTGATTGCCCGCGCACTTTACGCTGCTCATTTATCAACCCGGCACTGACCAAAGCCGCAGCCGTTGTAGCCATAGCCATAGCCATAGCCATAGCCACAGACAGCCGTAACCGCAGCCGTGAACCAAAGATGTGGCAGAAGTTTTATGGCCAACTTTGAATTTCCTTTCAGCAGAAGTTGGCCCACATTTTCATCTCTCCCTTCGTGCTTATACCGACAAACACACCTTGGCCTATTCTTTCTTCTTATTCTCCAGCAGCCACTCAACAGACAATTTACAGCTGAACAGATGGCAAGTGAAAGAGAGAGGAGACAGCTACCCGCTACCCGCTACCCGAGAGAGACCCAGCCAGAGGAAGCTGCCGCTTGGGCACTGGCCTAATCACTTTTTGATTTATTTGGTATAGTCGCGTTATGAAAGTTTTCCCCACAGTTCATATTTTTCTTTTGGCTTTGCTTGCGGTTTGTCCTCAGCTTTCTCGCAGTTTTCCCTGTTGCTTTTGCGGCCAGCAACAGCAGCAGCAGCAGCAGCAGCTGGAGCACCAGCTGGATAATATTGACGGGATTATCTCCCTGGAATATTGAAAAATTCCGAGACTTGCAATCTGAATGCCTTCCTTCAGGCCACTGTCAACAATTTGATAAAGTTTTCGTCCCCTGCCACCTGATTATGGGTCGAAGCCGCTCCTGCAGCTTGTGGCGGATGAGGGATATCAAAGAAATTGGCGCATTTTAATAATTCACATGGCAAACTGCTGAAAAATACATTCGACTCGAAAGACATTCCACGCAGCAGCGCTTTAAGGCGACCCACGCTTGTCTCCAGGCCATAAAGAGGTCCTCGTTGCTGCTTGCTGCTTGCTGCTTCCCGATTCCTGGCTACTGGTTACGCTTTTTTGTTGCCGGTGCCGGTTAAAGTTTGTCGGTTGACTTTTAAATTACATTGTGGATGTACTCCACTGCTTCTGGGGTGGCAATGAAACTTGTGCCTGCAACTTTCGAGCCTCCTCCCCTGAAGGAAAGTGCGTGCTAAGTAAGGTGTCCCCCCGAACCGGAGGGAGAAGGAATAGCTTGAAGCCAGGGCAACGTTTTAAGTGGCTGACGGAGCATGTGGGTGAGGCTGGCAATTGTCGGTGGATACTCTTGTCAAAGCAGCAATTGAAGCAATGTAATAAGTTTTCCCGGGGTGCCGGAAATTGGCATATAATTTGCCCAAATATTTGCGAATTCAAAGCGAAAACTTTTGCCGGCAGCCGCCGGGTCTCAGTTTCAACCATTTTGTTTCAGTGCAAACATAAATCACTGAAGGCATACTTGAAGTTTTTGTGCGAAATTATTTGCCCTGCCCAAACTTTGATTTAAATTTTTAAGGTACGCGGGTAGGGTAGCGGAAGCGGTAGGGAAGTGGCGGGGCCAATAACTTGTCGGCCGGTTGAGTTGCCACTTGCCAGCCTCATGAAAAATGTATTTAGGTAGGTCAATTGCCTAACCTGTTGATGTCCGGGAACAGTTCGATCGCATGCGCATGACTGTTCTCATTTATTTGAATTTGGTTGGGGCGCCAAGTCCCCGACTGTTCCCATCGAACAGCTGATTCAAAAGAAGAAGCATGTAAATAATAATATAGTTTCTGTATTTCCTAAAAGAACATTCAATTCGACTGAAAATATATCATATTGTTTTTCATATAATTAACTTTTTATTTTGCATAAATATGCACAATATGTTGCTTAACTGTTTGCATTTTGATATATAATATATATAATTGTAATATGTAAAACTAAACGCGCTTAATGGTGAAACTAAACGACAATCTTCGTATATCTTTTTACAGAATTATACATTATACTCGTACATAAATTGTAGATTTTTTGTTATTTTTTTTTGTTATTTTCTTTTAATATTTCTTTAAAAAATAGTTTCGCTTATTAAAAAATAAATCGCATCTTATATGTTACAATTTAGGTTTTGCTTTTGCTTTTGATATATTTAAATATATATAATGTGTATAACTGTAGTTTTTGCTTGGTTCTATATATTTGAAATACTTGGAATGCCCAAAAATAATTTGTTGCCTTTGTGGTCTCTTGTTTTCGAATTAATTTGTAAGCTAGTAACACTAGAAGTGTTAGAACACTACGAGTAACAAAGAATCCGATTTCAATCCTATCTGTACGACATATAGGGGTGCAGGATTATTCATTTTTTAATTCGTTTTTCGTTTTTTAAAGCCATTAGGTTCTTGTGTAGTGAAATCCTATTCGATTAAAATTGGTACTTTTGATGCATTTAAAACGTGTAAGAAATGCTTTTTCAATTAAAAATATATTCGTGTCTGTGGATATTTAAACATTTCATTAGTTCTTTAGTTATTTAATCTTTAATCGTTCGCTCGTGGTGTTTTTTCTTCAAGTTTTCTTTTTGTTTTTTGTAAATATATATATATATATATATAATATAGGTATGTATATTGTAGCTGTAATAATTGAATAATTGGACCATTTGTTTAAACGTTGATGTGGCTTAAAATTCTCGAATAGATTTAGTTTATATATAAACGTTTCTTGTTCCGCACGATTTCCAGGTAAATACATATTTGCATCGTATATCTAAACTATCGTAACTCCCATCATCTACACTGTCTAATCATTAATTGTATTCTGTAATCCGATGTAACAATCTGTTAATTGTAGGTTTCTTTAAGGTTAATGTTAATGTTTAAAACGCTTTACAAATGTGGCTCTCCGCGCCTCGCCTCGCTTTCGTTGCCCTTTCCTTCGGCTCGTAACAGTTTCTACATAATAGTTTTATATATATAAACATGTGTATATATAGTACTATATATGCAATGATATACACTGATAATTCTCACTAATTGAATCCAGTTAACATTTTGTGGTATGCAATCAACTCTGGAACGCGATAACTATGGTTTGTTTATTGCCTTGCTTAGCAAATTCGTTAGGTTTGTTTCTGTTTTCTCGTTATCTGTCATATAACTCCATCTAAATATTTATATATATATATATTTCTATGTTTGTTGGCCCCCTATTAATTGAAGATAAGAAGCTTTGTGGGTTCGGGTTTCTGAGTGTGTGTATGTATGTACATGATCTGTATTCGATCTGTTCGTCCTCTTGCTCCTAGTTCTGCTGCTGCTTAGTGCACTGCATCGATGTCTCGCTGTGCTCGGGATATCTTCAGCTTGTCCTTGGGCGTATTATCCTCCCCCGACTCCAGAGCAAACATCTTCATCTTCTCCTTGAAGGAGAGCTTCTCGGGAACGGCATCGCCAGCGCGTTGTTGCTGCTGCTGCTGTTGCTTCTCGGCCAAGCGACGTGTGCGCGGATCTCTGCAAAGCAAAAACTATTCTATCAGAGATCTGTATTTTGTTAACTTGATAGTCGACGCACCTGTACACCTCTTGGGCGCCTATAACGCCGGGCGTTGATTGCACTGAGGTGTTCCACAGAGCCGCATCTGGCGTGGCCGGCATGGAGGGCAGCATGGAGGCATCCAGATTATGCTGCAGATACTATAAAAGTTTATTAGTAAGGGAAGCCTTCTGTCTGACATTCTTTCTGTCTCCCACTTACACTTGCATCTTCTCTGATTGTGTCCAAATCCTGATGCTCCATGCCATAATTGTCTATGATGTATTGCTGCTGCTGTTGCTGCTGGCTGTTCCCGCTCACGAAATTGTTCTCCTCGTCGTGGAAGCTCACACGCTTGTTGTCCCGCTGCATAAGTGGTGGTGGTGGGGGCGGTGAGCCCAAACCTCCCACCATTCCCGTCCCCGTGGCAGACACATACGCGGCATTCAGTTCCATGGCACTGAGGGGCGATGCCTGCATGCTGCTGCTGCTGTTGTTGTTCAGGTTTCCGCTCAAGCTATTGTTGTTGTTGTTGTTGTTGGGTTGGGTGCTGAGGAGGGAAGCCTTCTTGATCTCGACGGCGGCCGCTGCCTGATTGTTGGTCGCTGTCTTCAGCAAACCCATGGAGGAGCTGGTGCTGCCTCTGAGCTTCTGCTGGGACATGATCAGGTAAGAGCTGTTGCGCTCTGGCGGCGGCGGCGGAGGCACTGCAGCATCCAGGGTCTCGTTATTGTTGTCCTTGTCCAGCATCGTGAGCTGCGTCAGCTCCTTGGCAAGACTGGAGATGGGATGCTCCGTCTGCAGGTGCCGATCGTCCGCGAAGCTGGCCGACTTTTGCGACTTGGATGGCGACGAGGGGGCTCCACTGCTGCCTGCTCCACCCTCGGAGTAGCGGTTATGCTTGAGTATGCTCTTGGGCTGCTGATGTTGCTGCTGCTGTTGTTGCTGGTGGCTGGTCATCGGAGCCATCGCAGGCGGTTGTTCCACGGGGCTGCT